ATCCAATGAGATTGTTTACGCACCCATATCATCATACACCTTATTCATCATGCACCCATTTCATGTTGTACTCATTTCATCATGCACTCATTTCATCATCATTTTCACTTACTCCATGCACCAATTTCACCATGTATGAAACCGGTTTCATCATGCACCAATTTCATAATCATTTTTCACTTACTCCATACACCAATTTCACTATGTATGAAACCGGTTTCATGAATAATTTTTTTATTACTGATTTCATGGATTTATTAATTTAATAACTTACGATTTTCATGAAACTTGGCAATAATAAGCCGAGACACAATATAATAAAATCCAATTTTTAATATTATAATTTAATTAAATATTTAAATTTTACCATTTATAAAATTTTCTTTATTATGTTACTTTAATTAAGATTTATTAATAATTTTCCTATTTAATAGAAAACAATGCAAATGACCAATATATCCTTAATGATTAAATTTAATTAGAAAAAAATAGAATTTTCCTATTGGTCGAAATTAGTTTACACGGTTTCTAAGAATTTCATAGTTTTCATTTGAACGTGCCTCTCTCTCTCTCTCTCTCTCTCTCTCTCTATATATATATATATATATATATATATATATATATATTAGAAGGGTACTCGCACAATACAACGAGATACATCTTGATTTTAATATTTCATTTTATTCTTTATCTCAGTCGATGTTATAATATGGTCTTATGTGATTTTGAAAAAACGATGATGTTTTTATTTTTAATAAAATATAAATTTGAAGATATCATAAAAATTTGACAAAAATCTATCGATATTAGTATCAAATTAACTATTTAAAATTCCTTATTTTTTGTGTAATTTTTAATTCAATTTTTGTATTATAATTTAATTTAGGTTTAATAACGAAGTAATTTATATTTGGTTTAATAATATAATTTTCTTATAAAGATAATAATTAATTATTTTGTTAGAACTCGATAATTTTTATAATTATATTTTAGATTTTTTATATTTTAAAATAAGATGTTTATCTCTATTTGATTATTTTTATCCGCAGTTAGTTACACGAATTCAAACATGGAGCTTTAATAAGTTGTACATGTGCATAATTTACTTGTAATATGAAATTTTAAGTAATATGCACCAATGTACGGTACTTCATGCATAAAAAATAGTTTTTAAGAGTTTTTGCAAATGCTTTATAATATAGTAGAGATATACATATATAGGGGCCTAATCAAATGAGAACTAATTAGTTTGTGGTAACCATGAGATCCAATCTCAACCACAAATCAATAGATAAATTAGGAAATTTATAATTTTGGTAATTTTGAATTAAAATTTTAATACAAGAACATTTTAGGTATTTTAAAACTCTCATCTCTCCTATCTTCTCTCCCCGTCCTCCGGTGATACCACAATGGTATCACAATGCATCATATATGTGCTTGGGTATCACATTGAGGTCGTTTGTGTGATCGATCAGAGATGTAACACATTGGTATCACAATGCATCTTATATATGCTTGGGTATCATATTGTGTCTTTTGTTAAACAGAGTCAATATTTTTAGGTATCACAGTAGTATCACCGGAGGACCGTGGCCGGAGGACAGAAAGAGGAGAGTTTTAAAATACCTAAAATGTCCTTGCATTAAAATTTTAATTCAAAATTACCAAACTTATAAATTTCCTAATTTATCTATTGATTTGTGGTTGAGATTGGATCTCACGGTTACCACAAACTAGTTAGTTATTCCTTAAATGGGCCCCTACATATATATATATATATATATATATACACACACATATATATACATACATATATATATATATATATATAATGAATAACGTGACTCCTTGTCACCTACAGTGATATATGAAAATATTTCATGAAGAGTATCACGCTGTTAATTATTTCTAATCAAACTGATTTTAGGAGTATAGTTGTACAATTCATATTTTAAGAATATAATTTAATAAAATAATAAAAACTATTAATGGTAATAATTTTATATTAAAAGCATTTGATTTACCACCTTCTATATTAAAGGTTTTTATATATTTACGTTTTCATAATTAAGAATATTTATTACCTTCCAATATTAACCAGTTTACAATCAAATGACCATTATATCATTTGTTATTAAAATTAAAGAAAAAAACGGAAATTTCATATTAGTCGAAAATGGTTTGTAAAGTTTTTATGAATCGGGCGGTTTGTAATATAACCCGCCTCTCTCTCTCTCTCTCTCTCTCTCTATATATATATATATATATATATATTTCCAAAGGTGTATTAATATTACATGGATACAGATATTTGAACACCATTGCTTCACGTTGTGCAGATATGTTTCCTTTGTTTCAGATTCAACTAATGACGCTCATGCCTTGTTAACAGGAATCCAGGATTGATGCAACGTTATTGATGGTTTACACTTTTTCAAATACTCTAAAAAATGTCATCTACATAGTATTCTTTTAGCCTAGAAAAATACATTATTGCATGTATTTATCAGTGTCAACTCTTCATATGTGACAATAACATGAAGCAATCTAAACTTGAAAACATGCTTTAGGATATAATAAAATTTGCAAACAAATACATCACAACTTTCATCATGTAGCTTTTGTGAATCAAACTAATCAACCAAGCATACAAGTGTTATCTCACATACAATTGGCCAACATAAAGATTGGCATATGCATATAAGGGGTGTCTCCCCCAAACAACTAGTTATGATGATATCAATATTTATCACCAACAGTAGCCTCTCATGTTCGGTCAAATACTTGATATACATGATTCACAAAAATACACGTCTCATGATTTTCATAACGTTTCATGAATCTTTGCATACAGAGGATACTAACATAATCTATTGAATCAAACAATTTGAACACAAAACTTGCAACTTATTTGCATAGGCATGCATTTTTGTTTAACAAATCACATGAACTCACTTGGATTGTCGAGAAGGCGATTCAGGTTGATTAATGTCAGTTTGCTACGAACCAAACACTTAAACAATCTGACGTAAATAGTGTATACCAATAATTTGTTGAGCCAATATTGATCTTCTTAACATTACCTTGAGTTATTTAACTAATTGAAAAATTAAAAAAACTTACCTATTTACATTATTAAATAATGATTTTAATGTTAACATAAAATAGCCAAAAAGAGACTTGGATGATTCTCACCCCGGCCCATCCAATGACATGCATAAGCATGCTTTATTGGACCAAACGAAAACAAAAATAAAGGCTTCGACAACCCCTCCCTCCATCTGACCGTTCTGATCAGCACCAATGCTGGCAACCAAGACTTGCGGCTTCTCTTCTGACCTTTAGAACTCACATGCCACATTACCCTCCTGTGGCCTTGCGCGTCTTTGGGTTCATCGTCAACAATGCTGACACCAAAGACGGATCCATAATGTTTTTCATTTTTTTTTTGAAAAAAGAATTAAAACTTATTTGAACTTATCACCTATGATACCACATATATGATGATATCAATATGTTGCAACCATAATTTGTTAACTTAAGGGAACACACATCAATTTAAAGCGGGTGCATCTTTAAGACCACTTTCTATTGCAATGAGTGATTGAGCGGTAGCCCGTGCACCTGGGGCCTTGTATGTACATACGTCCCTCCTGACAGTCGTGGTTTCGGTCAAAAAAAAAACGCTCAACATTTAACCCTTTCTACAATAAAACCAACTTCAACAACTAAAATTACGTTTTTTTAGGGTTGTTAGGGTGTTTTAGGCCATCTTCTTGATGATCCTTTGGGTTGGTTTTGATCGCAGTTGACTACTACACGACGGAGGACCACCATAGGGTTGAAACCCCATTTCAATGACGAAAATAACCAAGGTTTTCATTACCTTAATCGACAATTTCTTCTCTATAAGCTCAATGCTCTTTTATGCAAACTTTCTACATTCTCATTTAGGGGTCGTTTACCTAAATGCTTACCCAAGAAGCTTATCGTTAAAAGTCAACACTATAATTTATTTTATCGAGTAAGATTGTGGTAGATCAAAATGTATCTTATGCAACAATTTACCTGGTAAGCGCTTACCCTAGTAAGAGTTGTCACCCTCACTTACCGGGTAAGACTCTCCATTCTTATCATCGCTCTTACCGGGTAAGATTCTTGCCCCTTGCCATGTTCATCCGGTAAGGAAAATTGCCCAGTAAGTACTTACTGGGTAAGCGTTTAGTAAACGGCCCCTAGTGAGATTGACCAAATCAATCTCCCACTTTTACCCTATTACTTTCATTTACTTGAACTGCTACTTTCATTTATATTATTTATCACTTTTTAGCCCTCTCATTTAACATATTTTACGGGTAGCCCCCTAAAATTAGGTGTTACACGTTATGTATAAATCTCTGATTTTTATGTTGTTTTATATTTTTAACTTTGTTAAATTAAAATAGATATATGTATCCTAGTAAACTCCACTTTTGGTCATTGTAGTTTGCCCAAAAACGTGAAAAACAACTTTGTGTTTCAATAAATATTGAAGTAGTCATTATATTATAAATTTTGTGTAACGCCTTCCCTAAGCCCCATAAAGCGTGGCGGTAAAATCAATCTTAAAAAAATAAACTTAAAAATATCATTCATTACGGTCAACACTAACAACTAAAAAGCATATTTAAACGAACTAGTTTATCTCATACCAAACTAGATATTGCTATATAAGATAAATAAAAGCTCTAAAGTGATATACACCAAGTTCTTCCCTTTGTTAAATCATATATATATATATAGAGAGAGAGAGAGAGAGAGAGAGGAGGGGGTTGGTTATTATACAACCCTGACATTTGTACAACCAATACCAGGGGCGGAACACAAACCTTCTAACCGTAGGGGCCGGAACTAGTATACTATATATTTCAAAGGTACCAAAAATACATTATCCAAAGTTATAACATAGTAAAACTATAAAACTAAACATTAAATATAAACATGTCAAACATCGCAAATCAAAGTGGAACCCGTCTATCTTTCGCGACCTTGAACTCTTCCACAATTTCCTCCAAACTAATCTTTTCAGCTACTTCCCTTTCGATGAACAAAAGTAACGAGTCATTTAGAAACTCATCGTCCATTTTATTCCGTATTCTTGTTTTCACAATATTCATTGYTGAAAACGATCTCTCGGTTGTCGCGGTAGAAACTGGAAGAGTAAGTAATAAACTTATTAATCGATAAATAAGATCAAAAGTGGTTTCTCTTCTAGTCCTTACCAACCATTGACCCAATTCTGCAAGAGATGCCAATTGCTTATAGTCTACATGTTGAACGACATCAATAGCATAATGCTGAAGTTGCATTTTCAGAATTATTTTCTCATGATCACTGAAATCTTCAGGATAAAACTTCTCTACAAGTTGTCGTACATCAAGACTTCTAAAAGTCKCGTACGCATTTTTAGGATCTAGAGTTGAAGCAAGACGAAGCATCTTCATGGAACCATCACTGAAACGATGATCTAATTCCATTAATTGACAATTAATTGCTTCATAAAAGATATCCACTCGGTAATGATGCTCAAGTGTATGATCACTATGCTCATTACGAGCTCGATTCCCTCTCCTAACGTAGGAAGAAGACAAGTCGGGAATATCTATGTTACGTACCTAACAAGAAAACAAGTCAAGAAGAAGACAAGTTAAGAAGATTTGCTTGATAACGATGTTCGAGTGTATGATAATTATGTTACGTACCTGACAAAAAGACTTAACAACGCAAAGCAAAGCATCCCAACTTTCATCTTTCATTAGTTGCAATAACAATTTGGTAGATGCAACTAACCTCAATGAGTTAAAAATATCTTGATCTTTCCTTTGTAAAGCTTGACAAAGTATATCAGTGATCTCCATTATTTCTCTTTCGAGATGCAAGATAAATATGAACTCAAATGTCGTCATAGCCTCATATGCCGAATCTGCATCTCCTTTGATTGGCACAGTTCCTTCCTCAAAAATTTTGAGTAAAACCTCACAAGTTGGACTAAACATCTTGATTAGGCTAGAAATAGATCTGAGATGAGAACTTCATCTAGTATCTCCGGCTCGTTGTAATGTACCAATTTGATTGAGACCTCTACCGGTCTCTAATTCATCAACAGAAATCAAGTATGCAATTTCCTCGACTTGTGCATCTCGTAGTTGGTCAGTGCGTTTGGAAGAAGCACTAACAACATTCACAACAAAAGACAACGTTGTAAAAAACTTACGTAGTGCTACAACTCCTTGAGAAGCGGCCATTAATGCCAATTGCAACCRATGAGCAAGACAGTGAACATAATATGCGTATTTACAATCTTCTAAAATCAAGGCTTGCAAACCTTTGAATTGACCCCGCATATTGCTTGCACCATCATACCATTGTCCACGAATAGACTTGACATCAAGATTGTAATGTGACAACAAAGAATAGATTCCATCCTTGAGCGTTTGTGCCGTAGTGTCACGTACATGAACAAGTCCAAAAAAACATTCTATAATGAAACCCTCTTTATTAGCAAATCTCAAAACAAGAGACATTTGCTCTTTATGAGACCCATCTCGTGCTTCGTCAACAAGTAAACAAAAGCAACGACCACCAATTTCCTCACAAATCATTTGCCTCACCTTATTTGATATAAGATTTTGAATCGGCGGTGATGTATATGATGCATATCTGGGAGCATGACAAAATAACTCTTTAAGTTCGGTGCTAAACTCACTAAGTGCCTCCAACATTTCAAGAAAATTCCCTCTGTTAATGGAATCGGACBTTTCBTTGTGGCCTCTAAATGCAACTGCTTGAAAGGCACACCAACGGACRCAATAAATAGAAGCCGTCAATCTCAATCTGTTTTTCGCACGCTCTTCAGTTGTGAACTTCTCAAATACATTTCGTATATCTTGCGCCTCATTAGATAAATGATCCCATCCCTTTTGTGCAACATTGTGGAAAGATGTACAATCGGCTCCCATATTCATGACTGTTAACCAAAGAACAAACCAGTGAACAAACCAGTGAAGAGTCAAGAGTGAACTGTTAACTCAATCTGTATGATTTCAATTCAGGCCATACCACAGAATCATTTCTATCACACAATCCTTTTTACACTTATAATTAACAAACCCTAAATCAAATAACATTGATCAACAATATAGTCATAGACCTAATTCCTATCAACAAATAACAATAAATATACAGCTTTTGGGGCCTCAAGCACAACTGCACAAGCAGAACAGGAACAACAGGCAACAACAGTCAAGAGTCAACAACAGAGAATGAGAGAAGCAGGGGCTTACCGGGAGTTAACGTGGCCGGCTGGGCGCTGGCCGTCGACTGCCGAGTCCGAGTGCCGCCTCTGCCTCCGCCTCCGTTTACGCTGGTCGGCTGTCGCTGGTGGTCGCCCGTCGCCGTCGCTCCACAGCCCACAGTCCACACTTGACACTCCACAGCCTGCACTGCAGTGGTCGCCCATCGCCGTTGCTCTCGCCTCTCGAGTCTCGCCTGAGTAGTGAGTCCGGAGTCGCCTTTCGGGATTGGAGGGGGGGCCGATTGAAATTTTTTGTTTTCTAGAAGCTCTCATCTAAACTAGTCAATGGTATTTGGGAGAAAAATCACAGGGGCCTGGGCCCCTATAGGCCCATATTGTGTTCCGCCCCTGACCAATACAACCCAATCTCAACCGTCCATTTCATTTGGTTAATATGTGATTTCATAGAAATTTTGATTGTTTCCTAATATAAAGTATTGATCATAATTAATGAACCATATTCATCTTTCATAAATATTCAAATCATAATAAATGAACTCTCATCATTTCCATAAATATMTYWATTTATTGGGTTGCATTGGTTGTACAAATGCGATAGGTTGTATTTGAAACAAACTCTATAAACACTGAAATAAACACTGAAATAAATATTACTAAGCAATTGATGGCTCAAATGCTATATTGTAACCACCTCAACATAAGGTTGTACTCTACATATTGTATCAGCTAGTTCATCTCAGTGCACTACTTGTATTGAGAGCTCAACATGAATCCCATACATACGTTGGGAACTAGTGTCATCGAATTACTGAACAATACTGAAAACCTTGTGCTTAGACAAGCACCTACAGAACTGGCACTACCGTTACATAGAACGACAACATACTAAAAATTATCGTTCAACTAAATTATTATTCAACTATGTAACAACTAGATAGACTAATTACATAAGTGATAACCGGTTATCACCTACTACCTAAGCTACTACTTATCATTGTGCAAACTAGTGCATCATAATGCACTTATTGTACTAAAATCTTGACGTTGGTTCCCTATAATAGAACTCAATCATGTCCACTATTGTATAGCGTTGAAGCTACGAGTCCATGTAAATAGGGGTGTACAAAAAAATGGTCAACCCATGAAACTCGCCCAACCCAACCCGCTAACAACCCAATTAAACTCAACCCGTCAAACCGCTAACCCGCCAAACCGCTAATTAGGAGGGTTAAAATTGGGTTAGCATAACTCAACCCAACTCAAACCGCCAACCCGCAGCTAATATATATTATTCTTATAAAATTATGTGTGTGTGTGTGTGTGTGTGTATATATATATATATATTTATAAAGTTATAATTCACAGCCCAAAAATATGTATATTTTTTAGTCTAATGTACAATCCAAAAATTAAATACATGTATCACTTGTCCGATTTATAGTCCAAACTTAATCTAACTATTGTCTAAGTCAAGTCCAATAGGACCAATACTCCAATTCAATTCACCGATTCAGTTCTCGACTTCATGTTCTCCTATCGTCCACTCGTCTAGCATCCTTAAATCTACAAATCATGACTGTTGAGTGCCGACTGAACTATGGTTGTTTGTTTGCTGCCGATCGGACTTGGTTGTTCGCTTGCTGCCGACCAAACTGCTCTCGTTCTCGTCTGCGATTCTTACTCCTAATTCTGCTTCCTTTTCTGCTTGTTACGGCCTACGGGACTGTGGTTACTTACTTGCTATGGGATTGTGGTTGTTGTGAACCTGTGAGTAAATCGTTTTATGCTTGCTACAGGTATGGCTTTTGTCACTCATTGTCAACTAGTTCCTGCTTGGCTGCTTGTTTTCTGCTACTTCTAAGAACTCCTTGAGACTTAGTTGTCTATCAGACTATATGCTTCATAGCTCATGTGGTTTACTGGTTTACATATTTTCTGAAAATGTTATCCTTAATTGACAATGTATAGGAGCAATGGAAAATACAAATAAACCTCCAAAAATCGAAGATAAAGATGAACCAAACTCGTCTAAGAAAAGGGGTGGTAGTACTTCAAACGTTTGGGGATGAAAAGAACTCTAGATGTGTCTATAATTATTGTGGAAAAGACTATGCTTACCATAGCGAAAAAATTGGCACAAGTTCTTTGTGGAATCACTTAAGAAACCAATGTAAGAAGTATTTGGATAGCATTAACGATAAAAAACAAAAAATGCTTAGGTTTCCTACTATCAATGAAAATGAGGTGTTATTTAATAAAGAGAGATGTCGCAAAGTCGTGACTAGGTTTTTGCTTAATGATGAACAACCCTTTAGTGTTGTAGAGGATGAAGGATTTAGAGAACTTGTCATGAGTTGCAACCAAAATTTAGTGTTCCTAGTAGAGTGACTGTTGCTAGAGATGTTTAGCGGTTGTTTTACGGTGAGATAATTGAAGAAAGAGTTGACAAAGGTCGGACCAAGAATATGTTTAACAAGTTTGTTGGGTATATTTTTAGTATTATTTATCATATTTCATTTGCCAACTTTATGAATTTTAGTAACCCGCCAACCCAACCCAATCCATCCCGCTCTAACTCGTACGGGTTAGGTTGGGTTGGGTTGAGATTTTTCAAACCGCCATAATTGGGTTGGGTTGTAAAAATCTCAAAAACCGCCCAACCCAACCCGCGTACACCCCTACATGTAAACAAGTTTTAAACTAATGCTACTGGCATAAGGTGGATAAAATACATACATTATAATTTGTAACATAAAGTACATGAATGGCTAATCTAAAATATATAACATAAATCACATAAGCATAAACACGCATAATTGATATTACGTGAATAACTACATAACTGAAGCATACATAAAAAATTAAAATTTTTATGCAACTAAACATACTAGTCATATATCCTTCCCTTGGATAAATGAGTCATGAAAACTGACCTTAATTGTCGAGTGATTGAGCTATGACTGGTTACTACTAGCTTGACACGAATTGGACACCTAATAATAAATTTAGGATCCCAAGGTTATGCCTAACATTTATAAATTAAACTTAGGGGCCGTTTACCCAAATGCTTACTCGGTAAGTTCTTATCAGTAAGAATCAACAGTATAATTTATTTCTATCGGATAAGATTGTAGTACATCAAAACGGTATCCTATGCAACAATTTACCCGGTAAGCGCTTACTTGGGTAAGAGTCGTCACCCCCACTTACTGGGTAATACTCTCCATCATAATCATAATCTAGTGAGGAAAATTGTCCGGTAAACACTTATCAGGTAAGTATTTAATAAACGACCCCTAAATGTAAGACTCTCAACAAAAGAGACTTTCTCATTTACTTATGTAGCGTTTGTTTTTTAAGAGGTGCTGAAGTCTGAAGTCTGAATTCACTTCTGATTTTTAAGAGGTGGTGTTGAAGTCTGAAATCTGAATCAGTCAGACTGTTTGTTTTTACGTCTGAAATCTGAAATCTGAAATCTGAATCAGTCAGACTGTTTGTTTTTACGTCTGAAATCTGAAAACTGAATCAGTCAGACTGTTTGTTTTTACGTCTGAAATCTGAAATCTAAATCAATAAAACTGTTTGTTTTTGTAAACTGACAAACTTTTGAGACTAGAATTAATATTCATTTTGCATTAATTGTTCAAGATACTCCCAASATTTACAAGGCCTATATTATCGGCTTGCTTGATACCATAAAATTCCTTAGCAAAGACGGTAGTCACAAATAAATTGATCATAAAATAAACAAAAAGGGCGATCGAAGACTCGATCATGTAGTAATTAATTGCTTCTTGGACCCTCCCTTTCTTTTTTTCGGTCAATTTTCCTCAATTGCACCAAATCAGAATGTAAGAATACATTGTGGGGCACCCTATTACTCCAACAACTTGCCTGTTAATTCTTGAGCTGAGCTTTGGAACTAAAAAACCTGTCGTTACAAGTAAATCAAGATAAGCGACTATTGAAGGGTAATGCTAGGGAGCTGCAGTAAAAACAGCTTCCCACCATGACAAATAAGAACAAAAGATTGAACTGGAAGCAAGGATATGAATTACCTAACTGCAATGTCAAATTAGTTTAAATTTTTTGAAGGTAGGTGGATTTCATGAACACCATAGCAAAAAAATGTTGTCTTTTTTCATAATCACAGTTAACCAACTCAACCAAAAAGCATGTCATCTTGTAAATAAAATTGAGCAACACTTTTAAGTGGTGAAAAAGCTCCTGCTTCTGTATCTAACATAGATCTGCTGAAGCCTAAGGATTCCATTCTTAATGACATCAAAAACCCACTTCCTAATTTCTCTATAAGGTGAAGGACAAATTGATCTTATCACAGTTACTTCACTTTGATAACTGTAATTTAA